AGGGAGAGAAGGTTGATGGTAATGAAGAAATGCAATACCTGTTTGGTATTAGAAAAAACAAAAGAAGAAATTCAGAAACCACAGCAGCAGTAATTACAGCCACGATGTCCATTCTCTTTCATATGCTTCTGGAGGAAAAATACAACCCAACCCAACCCCCTCAAAAGCCCATCCTGTTCTCCATGCCTTATGAGATGCTGAATTTGTGTCTATTTATGAGCCTTGATACTCTCTTCTGAACTCATCTCAAGAAAACTAACATTACACTCTTATCTACTTGTATCACTTTCTACCACGTATTTCAAATAAAAGCAGCTATTTAGTGTGGCATGAAGGGGGAAGCAGAGACAGTTCCATACCTTCTATTAAAAATCACCTACTCTCTCCACTGCTACACATACTGATTTCCTAATACTTCTCATGCTCGGCTCAAAGGCAGCCATGCAGTACATACTTAACTGCTTACAAAGAACAAAACTACATCTATTGAATTGCATGAAAATATTTGAATTGTATTTTCCAGCTCCACTCCAGAGCTTACAGTAGTTACAAAGTACCATAACTGTTATATTTTGAAACTGCCACCAAGACACCCCTTTTTCATTGTAACATGCTTCTACTCACACTGCTGCAAAAAACTATTTACTGTATCTCTGCTCCTGTAGTTTGTTTTAATGAATCCAGTAACAGGCTTCTCAGCAACCAGCGCCTCTGATGTGTGATAAGAGCATTTCCCACAGACAGTGATCGCATCACTATGCGGCACAGCCCCTCCCCTGCAAACACAACTTCTCTGGCAAGAGTAAAGGTACCTTTGTAAAAATGCCAATATCAATCAAAATCAGAAACACAATAGAGGGGAACTGACTTGACATTCTTAGTTAATTGGAATACGTCACAAAACAATCATTATGCATATTGAGAAGTACAAGGTTTTAAAATGCACACTGAGGTGAAAAAACTGCACCAGGATGGTATAATCTGTGCACCATGGGTGAGGAAACAGACTTTCGGTTCTGCCTTTCAGCCAAGACATAAAGAACAGCACCTCAAATCTGTTAATGTTAGAATGAGGTAGCAAAGGCTTATACGTATTTATTTAATCCCATTCTTCGGAAGATTGCATGTGCAGGCAGGATAATTTAATACTTGTTTGATGTGCCTTTATATTACTTTCAATATACAGTACATATCCCTGACCTGCAAGTGCCTGAAAAATAGGTTGTTTCAAAATTCAGTTATCTGATTTTTTACTGGGATCTGCTAGTAATACATATTTGTAACTGCTCAACAGCAAGTGTAAACAGAATTAGAACCTACTTTACTGGACTAGGTCATAAGGCTTCAGCGTCAAGGTATTTTAGATCATACCTTGATCTAAAGGTATCTTTTTGCATATACGAATTCATGCTCAGCCTCAGACAGACTCTTTATGCAATGCATCACCTTCATTTACACAAGGTCAAGCACTGAAACATTTTACAGAAAATGTTTGCTTATTCTGAGACCAACAAAACCCACTACGCAACCATTAACAGGGAAGAGAGGAAGGATGTACAATTGGGCAGGGAACATGATCAACTTCACGCTCCGCTAGACACCGAAAAGAAAATGTCACTGGGCTCCTATGTTGTCTGCACTGGTACTGTTGATGGAATTCCCATCAGCATACTTGAGTAGCGGAAGGGCATGTATTTCAGCACCATCTCACTGCATAAAAAGTAACATTCTCTCAAGCCAGGTTTAAAGCATTGGTAGTCAAAGCACTGTGGTTAGCGCTGCAGAGCAATCTTGCGGGTGATGAGTGGTCCACAGTTCTCATGATGTTTTCCCCCCACTCCCGAGATAAGGCTAGGAAGAAAGTCCCACCTTTGTTTATGAATGTGAACTTCAAGGTTCTATTAAAAATGGCTCTTGGAGCAGTTACTCTGCATGCATTCATTAATATTTTGATGGGAATACACCATTTACAGGCTCCAGCTAACGCAACTGCAAAAATGTACAGATTCAGCATGTAATGCAGTTCTTGGATTAACAGGCAAGACACTAGGTGCAATCAAATTAAAATAGAAGCACAAGCCTCCTACTGTCAGGGTTGATCCGTAACTTCTAACTTCCCTTCCCCTGCATTTCACTAAATATTCCTTCTTCCTCACTCTCCTCTTTTGCATATATTTGTGCTTTTATTTGCACTTGTTCATATGAGCAGGTGGTCTTTTCATGCATGTCAGTCATCCAACAAAAGAAAGAAATTTTAATACAAAGTATGATTCAGTCCTGAAATTAAGTTTGGGCATTTTAAGTGGCTGGATACCAAATTTCATGCACAACCTATTTTCCACTGATCAAATGGTCAAAAGCATACAGAATTCAAGAAAATTATGAGGCTGAAACTTGCATAACTCAACTATATTTCCCTAAACCAGTGCTTTCCTTAAAGATACACAGCTCTTTGATTCTCTATGTGCATTCAGTCCTGATCATACCATACTGCCAGAAGTATCTGTTCCCAGTTACCAGCTCAGTGTTTATCAGATGTCTTCTTTTGCTGTTTTCAGCATATGCGTGCAACTTTAATGGCTGCTTTCTGTGCCATGCACGGAAAACATCTGGGTACATCTGTTCTTCCTTATCCTTCTGGAAATACTATGTTTACAGACCACTTAGTAAATACAGATGCTGCCCATGTAGACAGACTCCACAGTCCTGCCTTGTCTTCACCCTTTTTCACCCCTGCTGTTACCTTTCCACATTTTATTTATAGATGTTTCTCTACCATAGTTGACATATTTATGCTCTTCGGCAAGCTTTCACTTGCTAACTGAATTAGCATCGAGGCCAGTAAAGATAGTAATGCATGCATGCAAAGGAAAGGCATTGCAGTACAATTCTGAAAGTCAGTTGCATGAACACCAAACACGGAAGTTCACCTTGAAACAGTTCAAAAAGATGTTAAGCTTTACAACATAGATAAGAAAAACCTCTAAAACCACAAAGAGTATATATGCAGCCTTAAGACATTAAGATACAGATTACTTTCCCAGAAGAAACAATCTAGCTTTCCATGAAAGTAATATAAAATACAGAATATACGAAATCTTCCACACAGAACTATCAAATCCCATTTTCATTGGGGTTACAGGAAAATACAGTATATACAAGCAGAAAACAAGCTGTACATCATTTTCTAGCACCACCACAAGTATGGTAAAGAGACGTTGGTATCCTAAAGTAACAAGGCCATTTTTCTAAGTGCTAGTGTAAAAATAATTCCTTCTGACTACTAGGGACATAATTTGCTTAAGTTTGGAGTTTGTCTTCTGTTATACGACATTTTCTTTTCAAAATGGTGAAATCAATACTTAAAGAGTACACATTCAGTATCAGATGTGAAATGGGGCCCCTGAAATTTACAGTTTAAGTGTTTAAATGTGTTTGTAAACACATTCACTCAATTAAAAAAAAACGTGCAAACACCCTATGCAAACTGCTGCAGTCCTGTCTAAGGTCAAATCCTTTTGGTTTATACTTAAGTTTCATAGCAAGTCAGAAAATGTTGAGATCTTGAAAAAGGATGAATAAGCAAGGGAGGCAACAGATCCTTCATCACAAACCGCCCCTTGTCAGTATTGAACCATTTTCTCTGCATTTTATTAGAAGAATCTATAATACTAGAATTGCCTTCTGTAGCTCATAGTTCTCCCTGGCTGGTTCAGAGAGCTCAGTCATTTCACTTCTTGTTGGCAGCTTTGACAACGTGGTATAGATCGGAGTTTTTCTGACAAGTATCATGTAAAGCAGAGTAGTTCAGAGCTTGTTGAATTTGAAATTATATGCATCTATGCAAGCCTATGATTTAAATGAAGTAATTTTCTACCCTAGAATATAACCCCCCAAAAAATTAATCTTCCTAGAAGTAAAGTATTCTTAATTCTAAAAATATTATTGCTTTCTAAAGAAAGCTTCCTGGTTAATAACATAATATTCCAAGGAAATTTCTACTTTAGGAAGTTTTAATACACATAACCTGTCATTCACATAGTGATTTCACCAGACACTTAAATCCTAAAAACTGTCTGCAACATACTTGCGACTTAAAATGAAATCCACCAAACCCAATAAAACCTTTTAAAACACTTTTGAATGCAAATATGAACTTTGGCTCCACTTAGAACTCCGCTTCCTTGGGAGTCAGGTGGAGGGAAAGCCAGGTGAGATCACAGGGAGAACAAAATCAGAATTCCAGGCTGGCACTCACAAGTCACAGAACAGATTCTCTTTACACCAAAATGAACAGCTCCAGGTGCTGCCTTTCTACTGCCTCAATGCTCTATCTATCCCAGTACAATCTCAGGGCATGGACGTCATGTTTCCCCAAACCTAAGCTTCCCAAAGAAGATCTAACAATCCCATTAACCCAAAACACAGAGCAGAAAAGTTTATCAGGTGACACCTTGGTAAGGTGGATGAAACTAGAATGAAAGCTAACTTGGGAATAAACTTGTGACCCTAATCCAAAGCCTTCAGCAGCTAAAACTGTCACCTCTCTCCCTGTAGTGCTGCTATATCTACAGATCAAAGTTTGGAAGTTAGACCAGGCCCTCTTCAGGTCACCTTTCTTGTCCCTTGTCTTTCCCTCCTAACAAGAGCAAAAAAAGGCAAACAAACAAGAGGAACACAAAAACGACACTGTCAGGTTAAAGATGAAGATGTAGGTCCCTCCTCCATCCTCAAACAGCTTGTCAGGTCACTAGGAGAATCCTCCACTGGCTGCTGGGCACATGATAATGAAGTGTCAAAGACTGAAAGTTCCTAAGTCTTAAACAACAAAAAACCCCACACTGTGCCCTACACCATATCAACCAATTAGAGCTCAGTAGCAGCCACCTCAGGAAGAAAATAAGACTTTATGAAGAGCTTCTAACTTGACTTACTCTTGCTGTTATTTTTGTATGCCATTGTAACATGGCATCAGGGCTCTTGGAGCATCTGTGAACATTTCTAGATCTTCCCTATCAATATCTGTAACAGGAGCTTGACTAATTAAACCCTAATGATACCAAAAAAAAAAAAAAAAAAAAACCACAAAACCAAAACCCAACAAATCAGGTTTTGTCAAGCTTTTCCTTTACCTAAATTTGGCTAATCTGTGCATCTGAAAAGCACATCCCTACACATCAACTTCCAATCTTGTATTCTGTCTGCATTACCCAGGACTTTGCACCTCAAAGGCTCTTAACTCTTAAATTCAGAAATCACTTATATGTGATAAATTCAGAAATCACTTCTGTATGCTAACTTCTTTGTTTTAGAAAAGGAAGGTCAAAATTCTAGGACAGAATAGGTGAGATTTAAAAATTGGCACCCTGAGCTTTCCGTGTTACAAAGCAGCACTGACCTTCCCCCTTTCACCCATCAGCAGGATTTGCAAGCAATGAGTACCACTACTACACATCTCCAGGCCCACCCATGACTCAATAATGCAACAATGTCTAAGCAAAGTTTCACCTCTTCCCACTTCTCTTTTACAGCATTTCTGTCTCATGTCAAGCAATGACAAACGGCTATAACAACAGAAATGTGACGTACTAAAAATTCTACATATTCTGAAATGACACTGATGTTCAAAACAACGTCTCTGCAGTTTTCCAGCTGGCAATTAGACATAAAGGAAAACAGCAGATTGTTCTCAGCATATGTGCTAATAATAAACATTAAAAAGAATAATACGTAGTAACATATATTACAATAAGCTACAACAGTGTAGTCAGAGTGTATACTTTCCTGTTTGTATTTTAAGATTTTATCTGTCTTAACTGAGGATTTGCTTCCCCATTTCTAGATTAATACACTGAAAAAGCTTAGATAAAAACCTAATTCATTAACAAAAATCTACTGTATTGTTTCTTCAGTTAATTTCCTAAATGGAAAACTAGAAAGCCCTAGTTACAGAACAATCCCGAGGACAAAGTCAGCAATGCTGACCAGAATAGGAAAACCGGTAAAATGCAGCAGCTTTGTAAGCTTCTACTACACTTTGTCACACTCTCTAATTTTGTGTATTCTAGATAGGCTACAGCAGAATTTCCCTAGAATTACAAAGTATAGCTACATGAATAGTAATTCAACAAAACTAATGCTTTTAAAATAAATGCTAGAGAAGTAATAACACCTTATTAAATATTACCTGTTCAGACAGTTTTGATCTACCTTTGATTTTTGGTTCTAGAATATGAACTATCCTCATTCTTTTCTTATTCATACAAATTCACATTTACACAAATGTGACTTAACTCCTCACACATCCTATAAAAATCTATATCCAGACACAATGCTTAAGGAACGACCCATAAATTCTTCACTTTTCAATGTTTTTACCTAGCCCTGTTTTTACTTTTGTGCATTATTTCCACCCTACAAGGTGAAATCAACTTAAAACTAAAACTTACAAAGTAGGATGCTTCTGCTGAGGAATTGCTGTCTGAAGCAATAAATCATAGAACAGTTTGGGTTGGAAAGGACCTTAAGATCATCTAGTTCCAACCCCCCTGCCACGGGAAGGGACACCTCACACTAAACCACATCACCCAAGGCTCTGTTCAACCTGGCCTTGAACACTGCCAGGGATGGAGCATTCACCACTTCTCTTTGGGCAACCTGTTCCAGAGCCTCACCACCCCCACAGTAAAGAGCTGCTTCCTTACATCAAACCTGAACTTCCCCTGTTTAACTTTGAAATTGTTACCCCTTATTCTAAGGCAAGCATGTTCAAGAGTACTCAAAGATTTTATGATACTCACCATTCTGCAATTTCAGGATGAAGGATTTTGTTGTTCACATTAAATCTATATTAAAAAAAAAAAAAAGCAACACACAAATATTAAAAAAACAGTCACACAACAGCATAGATTACTTTTTTTTTTTTTTTTTAACTGTGTCTTCTCTGGGGACTTGAAAACTTGTGAAAGCAAATACTGTATTGCGATTAATTACAGATCAGTTCAGATCCCAGTGAGGAGAACGCACACACTCGTCTTCATTGTGCAAGCATTTAATTCTGAAATACATGAGACTAAACCAGATACGTAATTTTACAAATGTGGAGAAACCAGAGTAACAGTATGTTCAGGGGACAGTCATTAAACACAGCATTTTACACAGATGAAATGTTATCACTTCACTGCTGTGAGTGTGGGTTGAACCAGACTGACCTCCAAAGGACCCTTCCAAAGTGTTCTGTGATTTTAACTTTGCTCCTTAAAAACACTTCAGTGAAATTAAACACAGTGTATTGCTAATTTCACCCTTTGTTTTATGCTTTCCCATTTTTCTGTGCACAGAACATGGCACGTGATAAACAAGCTTGCTTAGAGGACTATGAAAACAATATCTCCTTGCCTTTTTTGACCTAGAGAAGAGGTAAAGCACAGGTTTCCATCTCACGCTGGCCTCAAACACTGAACTATTTTTCTGTTTATTTTCTGCATTAGCAATTCATGGTAATGCATTAGTATTCTTGGAACTAGTTTGAGGCTCTCTAAGCAATAACATTACAGTGGCCAGTAGAGTAAGAAGCTGAGTAATTAAGTAGCTTACAATTTAAATGCCCAAGGAATGTTCTGCACCACAGATATTTTTGTCTGACTGTTGGCTCTTCAGTTAGGGCATTTAAGACAATTAAAATGCTCCAAGGCTCCTAACAGATCTTCAGAAGAATGTTATAAGGCAACAATTCATTTTCCCAAATTTTTGAAGGAAAAATTAATCTATTCCAGGTTATTAACCATTCTTTACACCTCAGAAGGGACCAACTAAAGCACAAATCCAATTAAAAAAAAATTGTTTAGAAGTCACTTCTAATTGTACCAGGGTCTTCCTGCATCCTCAGATAGCAGGAAAAAAACCCCCTATGTTTCTGTTTTTCAAAAACACATGCTTATAAACCTATAAAATCCTAACAAGGTAAAGGTTAATAGCTTTGTGTCACTACTCCAGGGGAGAAAACAACAACTTCTCTTGACATTCAACAAGGACAAGTTGTATGGTATTCAGTATTATGGGTATTAGTTAGAAACCACTGGAAAAGCAACACAATACAAAAAGCCACAAGTCACAGAACAATGCATCATTATAGAATAATGTTAGTCACTTGGAAACAAGAAAGTCTCATAAAACCAGAGAAAAAAGGCATTTTTTCAATTTAATCACCACCATCCCAGCAACTATTACCTATGTACAATAATGCAGAAATAATTCTGGGATGGAAGAGCCCATTAAACACAAATTCATACAGAAGAAAATATAACAATGATAGAGTGTAATCAATCTATACAAATCCTAAAAAAACCAAAAGCCCGAGCTCCTTGTTTGGCTGGAAAGCATATCAACTGACACCACCACAGAAAAACAAGATACAGAAGAATTAAGCTGGAGCTGCAACGATACGAGGACATTCAATAATTGTCATCAGTATGTCAGACAGAAAACAGATCAATGAAGGAAAGTGTAAGGAGACACTGCAGCACTGCAGAAAGCTCCAACACCAGCTCTATGCAAATATGACAAGCATAAGCTATGGTTATTATGAAGTAACAAAAGAAAATAAAGGGCAGGAAGGGCAAGTAAATAAGGCAGCTGACTGAGGCTCTGAAAATTCACGTCTCTTGAGAACCTGACACACTCACTTTAAGCACAAACGGATGAAACCAAAAGCAAACCAAATGAACAAACACGAACCTCACAACAGAAGATTGTCTCTCATCTGAGCATTAAATAAATACAAGGGAAAAGCCTGTACACCAGCATAGCCTTGTGACAAGTTGAATAATGCTCTTCTAGAAAGGCAATTTCAGCCAAGAGATGTACCATCTCTGTCCCCGTCCCTGGATTTTTCCTCTCCTGGTCCAAAAGGCTCTTCTTGAGCTGTCTTTGTGCTTCCAGAAATGCAAGTTTCAGTTGCTGGCTGGAACCGTCTACTATGTGGCAGCTCCTTAAAACTACAGTTGCTGTAAATTATGGAAGCAAATTAAACACACAGAATGCAAGTAGGATTGGAATGAGAGGGTGCAGGGTAGGAGTAACGAGGCAGGAGGTCATCAGTCACACAATAGTTTTCTCTCTCTCCTGAAAGACAGACTTTTTGATATGATGGCAAGTACTAAACAAGATTTTAGACCTCTGGGACACAGCATCAATTCAGACTTCGAATAGAACCTGATCTATTGTATGCAGCTTTTTCAGGGAACTCAACGATTAAGGATTGAGTTGTCTCAACTTTGCTTAGCTCATAATAGCTGTGGGTCCTGTCTGAGTGGCCACAGGACAACCTGTTTATGACTGCCAGACTTCTAAAGCTAATGACTCAAATTATGCTTCACTTCACTTACGAACAAGACAGCTAAACAAACTACATCCTAAAAGTTATGGGTTAAATATAAAGCTCAAGGGGAAGAGCTTGTCATCAACAACACGAGTACACAGTGGTGTTTAATGCACACAATTTGTGCACAAAGTCCTACATAAAATCACCCTACCATGTCCTTCTAGCAGAATTTTGATCCTGCTAGACAATAATCAACTTAGTCTTAAAAAACATGTACTGCCCGAAGGTTAAGGGGATCATGTAGAGCAATCCAATTCTACATGTTTCTGCAATGTGCAAATAGACAACACTTAGATGATGAGATGTGGTCTTGAGGAAGAAAACAAATTGACCTTTTGCTACAGTTGCAACCTGTAACATATTAATGCTCCAATTTAATCAACACAGAACTAAGAAATGCTACACTGAAAAGCATGTCCAAACTGATTTCATACTCAGTTGTCCTTTTAGTTGCAAGACAATTTCATTAATTTAAAACAAAAAAAAAGCTACACATCTGCACTTACCGTATAACAGTGTAAAGAGCGATCCTATTTTGTCACTTTAATGAACATACTTTGTGTGTATATGGTGAGAAAAATCTAAAACATATTCAAACACAATGTTAGAATTTTCTACTCTTCTTCAGCACGGAGAGTCTTTCTCCTAGCAACTGACCTCACTACGCAATAGGGAAGAGGCATTTGAGACAGTTTACACTGTCACGCTCAACAAGTGGAAAGGAATTCACTGAAAAACTGTAAACATTTAGGTACAATTGCTTAAACTATCCATCATTTCCATCAATTGATTCTGAGGATGAAAAAAAAAAACCCAAACAAAAACGAAACTAACAAAACCAAACAACACAGCAAGCAAAGATTTACTCAACAGTGGTTTAAAGTATATGGTACATTACTGTTTATCCATGGTTCAAAATCCATATTCTGTATGGTGAGTCACATCACTTCTAAGTATTTTCACAAGTGCCACATAACTGGCACACAATTGCATCTAAAAAATTGCTGTTCATTTTCCAGTCTGAAAAATGGGTCCATGAATTAGAAAAACCAAAAACCCACCAGCCACAGAACTAGCCTTTGTTAGCAAATGCAAATATGTATGCCTAGAAAAAATGTATTAGCACTGCTTCAGAAATCTGCCTTCTAGACTTAAGCCACCTCAAGTAAACAACAGCAAGTCACTTCTGTAGGATTTGTAAGAGCTGTAAACAAAGCTGACCTGAGGGGAGCTACCAGGAACAGCATTAGCAATCAATCGTTCAGCTCTCCTGTCTGAAGTCCCTGTCCCAGGCTGCTCCTGGGACAACAGCAGTACCCACTGCTGAGCAGGACAACTTCCCAAGCACCACCATTGTCCATTTCACAGATAGCAGCAACATGCAAGGTTTTTTTCCTGTACTAACAAGATACGTTGTTGACAGAGGGAAGATTTAGATGAGACATTAGGCAGAAGTTCTTCCCTGTGAGGGTGCTGAAGTGCTGGCACAAGGTGCCCAGAGAAGCTGTGGCTGGCCCATCCCTGGCAGTGTTCAAGGCCCGGCTGGACAGAGGGGCTTGGAGCAACCTGCTCTAGTGGAAGGTGTCCTTGTCCATGGCAGGGGGTTGGAACTGGGTGAGCTTTAATATCCCTCCAATCCAAACCAGTCTGTGATTCTGTATGAAAGAACTATACATAAACTGATGAAAAACATGATATATTTCACTATTAAGGGCTCTCAGCATAAAATCAAGTTTGATCACTGCTACCAGCACAAAAATAAGTTAGGGTTGATCTTCAGGGTGATCATAGAAATAACCCATTACCACAGTAGTCATTTTGTCTCAAATGGCTACTTATTACAGTGGAAAAATTAATCCAATAGTTTAGGTAATTATATTCCAGAAGAAGTTCAAAAGGTTCAAAAAGTTAAGGCAAAGAAGCAATATCATTAGAGAAAGAAAAAGGCAACTTGTGAAAGGAGCAGATGAACTGCCTGCAAAGGCAGCAAGATTCAGCTTTTTCCGGAAATGATACATTATTTCTCCTATTATCCATCACAAACAAAAAATCCCAAACATAGAAACACACCAGGACAAGTCAGTCTAGGACAAAAAAGACAAATGGGAGCAGGAGGAACACAAAGGGGCCCTAGCAAGCAAATACATCTTGGCCAGGTAGCCAGAAAATGGAAACAAACAAGAACCCAGGAATAAGATACAGCATCATAGCCAGGGCAGAGGACAGAGAGAGCTGATAACTTGCAGGTACAGACAGATGGGAGGGATTGCAGTTTGAAGGGGCACATTGCTTGGTACAAACTCCATGGGTTTAGTCCTCTCAGAAGAAACAAGTGCATCCAAAATACATTGAAATAGGCCAGGTTGGACGGGACTTTGAGCAACCTGGGCTAGTGGAAGGTGTCCCTGCCCACGGCAGGGGGTTGGAACTAGATGAGCTTTAAGGCCCCTTCCAACCCAAACCAGTCTGTGACTCTATGAAAAATAGAGGAAATATTTGACCTAGGAGAG